TTCAAGGGGGCCGAATACTTTTGCAAGCCACTGTATTTCATTTGCAAATATTATAATACTGTGAAAAGTTATATGAGTGGACAGTGTGACCTTACAACGTCCTTCTCGGTATCCTATCAAAGTTCACAATTAATGATTATAACAAGTCTTTATCTGAAAACTTGTTAAACTCAACTCTGCAGAAGAGGACAATTAATCTCACACATGATGTTGCATAAAATTAAAGGATTTTATTGGCCTGAAAAAGTCACATAGGCGTTCAACACATTATATGACAGCAGATTTAAATCAATTTGGTTCAGCAGTGACATAGGCCCTCATCACACAGCCAAAACGTTTGCATCATATCCAAACTTGCGTGGTGATCACAGTAGAGGTGGCGGGCTAATGGTATCGCCTGATCTTCAGCTCACGATGCATCTGGCACCAAACACACGGGTAACAAAAGCACACTTTACAGCAGTCATCAGTGAACGAGCCCTGCAGGATGGAGAAGAAGAAGCAGATAGACAGAGGATGAAGCAGCAGGAGTTACTGTTGTTACCCCTCAGCCCTAAAGGTTTAGTGGGGTGTTGTCATCCCCTCATCCGGCAGCTGTGTCCCTGTGTAGAGTTGGGTAACCAAATATCTGAGAGTTTGTCAAAACAAGAAACTGCAGCTTTTTTTCCCCCACAGTGAGGGCAAGAGATTTCAGATTTGAAGAACTTTACACTTCCTCTTTCTCAACTCAAGCTACTCCTTTATAGCCTCCACGGATTGCAAAATACCACAAGTTTTATCCAGGTCACTTTTATAATGGCACTGCATGATGTGGTTACTTTATGTCAGTTTGACCATGACAGGTGAGAGTGAGTGAGAAGGATCTGCACAAAGCACAATTTGTGTGCATTTTTTGAATCTCATAAATTTACATTTAGATGTTATGTTAGTTCATAACAAGCAGAAACCTCCAGGGCTTTAAAATGAAGCCAGTGCAGAAGTTATAAAAGTGCACTTCCTCTAGTGTCCACATCTATCTTTTCAATGTAGTTTGTAACAGTGTCCTCCATCTCTAACCCAGCCTTACATAGATGTTGTGGCGCTCTCTGATGGACTGACGGAGTAAGCAGGACACCACACCAAAAGCGTCCAGGAGTGGCATTGCACAGCACCATCCATGTTTATTGGCTGCATCACACTGCATGCAGGGGAAACAGCAAAGGCCACAGCAACCTTTGAGGAGAAATATATACATATATAAATAAATATTTATTTATATATTTTATTTACTATTTTTTTTAACTACAACAAACCAACCAACCTGGATGTTCCAGGG